CAAATAAACATATTATAAATAATCCGCAGCTGCACCAAACAAACCCTCAATCTTCCTGCCCTTGCCAACAAAACCATTTTAGCTTTTTTGAAATGGTACAACTTATTTGAATAAATTGACAAGGGGCCATGAAAGCTCGTGATGACAAAATAATAAGATCTTAATAAGCTTCGTAATCATTCCCCCATTATCCTCTTTAAGCTAAAAGTGATAAATTTATAAATTTTAAATCCTATATTTTCTGCTACTATATGTTAATTTTGAATACTTAGCTCATAATGACTACTCTTAATCGAAAGTGCTCTTCCGTTATTATGAGTGGTAATTAACTATAGGGGCTTGTGCTTACGGGATACCTCAAATCCTAGATCTTAAAGTCCTAGTAAATGATGGCGAAATCTTTGAATAGTGTCATCCAGGGGTGTAAACGAGTCGAGTCGAGCTCGAGCCACCCACGGCTTGAGATTGAGCTTGATTAATTTTATTGAGTTAGAGCTCGAGTTCGAACTTTAAATCTACGAGTTTGAGCCAGCTTGCGAGCCGGCTTGTTTATTAGAAAGAAGAGAAAGTGATATGAATTTAAGCTAGATTTATAATAAGATGTCAAATATAATGAACAATTAAGAGAAAAATAATAAGAAATCGCTTAAGATATATTACTAAATATTAATTTTTAAATATTTTAAATAGTTTAAAGATAAAATCTTGAAATTTTATATATTTCGACTATATTTTATATCAATATTTTTTAAACATGTCGGCTAACAAGTTGAGTCGGGGGTTGCTTTGGCATGTCTTGTTAGCTCGACAAGCTTAGTTCACGAGCCATTTATTGAGCCGGGCTAGAGCCGGCTCACGAGTCGGCTTAACTCACTTAGACCCCTAGTCTTATCTACTATCTCATCTTCCTTTTGAAAATTTGAACTGGAAGCTCACGATAAACTCTTTCATATCATTTTCTTTCTTTTCAAGGGAGACTGGGGCGTTGAAATTTAGGAGCCTGCATTGACAAACTGAACATTAGTTATTTACAAATATCTTTGATTTTGATGGGCAGCCCTATTAGCAAGGATCCCTCGTGCGATCATTCTTTGTTCAGCTTGGCCCTTGGTTTTACTTCAAGGTGACATTGAGCATAATTGATGTAGCTTAAATTAGCTAGTTTAGCCTAAGAAATGATCATATTTTTATAATCTAATTAAAATTTGTCTGGTCTGGTTATTAATGAGCTGAACGATTAGTTTTAAGCCATTTTGGTATCTAGTTTATTTATGGCTTCATTTTCTATATGATTCATTTTCTTAGTGTACATTATCTTCTTTTGCTTAATATTATGTTTTAATTTAATTTTAAAATAGCATTATATTTGAATTTTAATTTTTTGGTCTTATACATTTAGCTTTTTTTTATAAATATGGATTAGTTTCTTGTAATTGAAAAAATTTGGATAAATCAAAATTATTTTGATATCAATCGAGTACTGCCTAGATCCAAATTATGTTTGTGGATAATGCTCTATTTTGCAAGTGGAGTTTTTTTCCCCCCATAATTAATTGTGTTATTCAAGCATACTTGATTTTCCTTATATTCACGCATGCTAGTACCTGCTTCTATTTCTTATGCTAATGCTTTTCGTTTGTGCAAATCCATGCATAACGTCTATAATTTATCTCATGCATCAGTCCTTATCCTTTCACCTTTCACTCTTTGCCAAGTCACCTACAGACTTGCCATGTTCCTTGTCGCATCAAGCCTTACTCTTCACACGCAGCATTACTTTCTTGTGTATATCAGACTACTCCCCTCATTTTCCTTTTCCTCATTGCATGCTATTATGGCTCATTTTTCTCTCATATCATGTTTCACTATCCTTAACATAAGCAGTGCTATGCTCTCTCATCTGTAGATTTTATTCACATCCCGACTTCGATCCTCACATGTCCTATTACCCAATACTTTTGCACTCATTTATTCATGTGTTTTCTTTAGCTGCTTCTCTCGCTAATCATCAACATCACACTTCCTAGAATGTTCGCCTGTTGTACCACACGTCATCTCCATGAATACCATGACATCATAGCTCATGTCATATTATTGATCCATCTTGACATTCAGTCTCCTTGCCCTTTTCAACCCGGCCATGTTAGCTTCTTTGAAATGTTACAACTTATTATTAATTTTTTTTTAGGTTTCATCGTTGCTTAATTTGATTTGTCATCGTACTATTGTTAAAAAATAATATCAGCATATTGGATATTGACCATATCCTTTCAATGATGACTATAGCTCTCTATTACTTACGTGTTTATGACAATGCAACTTATGAAAAGTTTTGACTGTTTATGAATAAAGCATTCAATACGTTACATTATGCATCAAACTAAACCAAATTTGCATTTTCAGCGAGTTGTATGCAATACATTGACAAATGCCACAAATTTCTTTTGCCCCATAAATCTGAGAACTTTTTCTTGTTCAGGGTGTGCCAGAAATTTATAGTCTCTTTATGATGATAGTTCTTATGAGCATGCTTACGATAGATCTCTTATTGATGATGGACTCCATGATAATAATTCTTATGAGACTTTTATAATGACACGCATCTTTGTAGTGACAAACTCGATAGCCAGGAGTTCTAAACATTGGAGGTTAAGCTATAATTCAAGTTAGATCTGTTTTCTAAGCTTGCAAATATTGTTCAACATGACTATTTTCTTAAAAGTCAATTGAAGATATTGCTTAATTTTACTTGCCATTATCTTAGGTGATATACACTATTTCAGATGATTACGGTTGACTTCAACCACACCTTCGAGATATTGAATTTTGGTTTCCATGGTCACCAGCAACATCTGTTGCCATGGTCGCCTTCACCGTATGCTGTCTAAATTTCGACTGTTTTCGTGTTTCTTAATCATATTTAATTATGATTAAATTGTCCAATTTATTTTATTTTATTCATTTTTTGGATGATATCTATCTTCTTATATAATACAAATTGTTTTCTTTCATTTAAAGGCAACTGTCATTAATTATCGCCTACTCAGTATTGATTGGACGATCCCTTGACTCTACACTTGAAATTAGATCACACAAGCATTGGAAGCTACAAACCATTGCTGGCAAATCAATAATAGAGTTGCAAAGCAACAGCTGAAAATTACAACATAGAAGAATATTTGAGAAGAACAATAGGATAGAACTAAAATACTGGCTTATAGCATTGATGTTTTAAAGAAAAAGAAACAGCTACGTAACTTCATAGTTAAAAGAATCATCTATGATCCATATCAACTTCAGATAGAATTTTAAAAAAGAGTTTTTAAGGCATGCAACCTTTTGTTCACATGGAAAAATCGCAAAAATGGTAGGGTCTTGAGTGATCCAAAACATTAGACGCCAGAGCTTCGTTCATGGAGCTAACCATTGGTGCAATTAGGTAGTTTTACTATGTCAATCAATGCATGCTGCAAGAAAGTGTTGGTAGCATCGCGTGATTGTCATAGCTATCATGTTTATTTGCTGTTCAAATTTAGTGAATTATTGAGTTTGGTGATCTCATTCGGGGATATATGCATAAGAAATAGACCCCGTGCTGTGTGTCCTCGCATGAAAATTTCTGTTATGGAGTTTACACCTTTGTAAGGCTTACATATACACATATTTTACTGTAATTGATATAATTGATAATTATTACATATTAATCAATTGGATTTTGTATCCATCAAGGAAATACAAATGGGGAGATGCAGCTTTAAGAGCCGTGTAATAGAAATTTTTGAAAGAGGGGAAAGTGGTGTTGTAGGATGTTTTCAAGGGAAATGAACCAGCAAATTTATCACATTCTCCTTATAGCAACCAATTTGTGTGCTATGCATTTTAGAACTCTTTGGAAGCATTTTTTTGGATGCCTTTGCTACAGCGTCAGAACTTGCTATTTTATTTGCTTAAACGACGCACACTATCTTTGAAATTTTTGCCTATTTCTTCTGGAATTGGTTTTAGACATATGACCCATCTCAACTGCTCCGTACCTTGATTTCCAAGAAATGGCAAATTGCAGCCATTGTTAATCATTTTATCGTCTTATTAATTCATTTACTTTCCTAATGCTACCCCCTCTCTTTAAACATAATTTTATAGCAGAGTCAAGTAACATGCTAAATTTATTAAGATGTGTTTTGGCATCACTTTTTTTCCCCAGCCCTTTTCTGATTAGCCTGAACTATGACTATTTAAGTATTTAGGATTGAATAGATATTTAATCTGTATAGTGTGGTTGTTTCTTAATTCAAAACTTTCATCAAATGCACTGCCGATTATCTAAATGTAGCTGGGAAAGTATTGCCACCCTTCTAGTTAGTAGCCAAGTCACTCTTTGAATTTTTTGGCTGCTGTTCTATTTTTAAATCAAGTTTTTTCCCCCTTTTCTTGGCTATTATTTGATTCAATGTTGCCTTGTGCATTTTTTTGTTAATTTTATGGATATAGAAAAAATGTGGGAATCTTTGATTGAATGTTGTAAAATGAAATGTTGAATGTTAGTTTAGTAGAATAAGTGCAAAGAGCTGTGCTATTACCAGTTAATCATCCAAGAAGAAGCCCACTAGCAACAAATAATTATGTAATCATTTATTCTTGGCTTATAACTAAAACTAAAAGATAAAATCAAAATTGATGCAAATTTCCAAGTTCCGGCAGCACTTTCCTTTTGAAAGCTCCGTCTTCTTTCTCAGAAAATTTCTTTCCTACAAGTAAATATCCTTTTCTATGTGATTTTGGTGTTTCTTCTCTTTTCCTGTTTTTCATTCTCCATTTATTTTTCGTTCCAACAACTTGGCCGCATAAGGAAGGAGATGCCGAGATAATTGAATGTTTCCTTTGAAGAAGGAAAAACGGTGTTTCATGCTCCAAGATAGACCAATATTCAATATTATTTTATCTGCCTTCCTTTCTTCTCCTTTTTCACACTTCCTTCACCATCTTTTTCTGAATTTCAGGCCTCTTACAGATGAAGAAAAGATGCTCAAGGAAGAGATTGATCATTTAAAGAAGCAACTTGCCTACGAAACTGATAACAAAGTTAATTCTGATTCTGCACCTATTTCTACCGAACAAGTAAGGAGTTTGCATGAGCTGATAAGGGAAAAGGAGAAAGAGTTAGACCAGCTTGTGTCTTTGTTGGATGACAAGGTTCGGTTTGGTCAGAAGGCCTCCACAGATGGCAGGCCTGGTTCTGGATCAGGTAGGACGGCCTTCTCTGCAGATAGGGCCCCGTCTCAGTCCACCATCTCAGATGATTCGAGAAACATCGAGTTTATGGATCGGCCTCGATCACGAGGGAGGAGCGATTCATGGAGCAGGCCCATGGATGACCGACGGGGGTTCTCACGGAGCAGGGATTCGGGTTTTCTTGCCAGCAGAAATGTGGACAGGTATGTCATGTTTATAAATTTTCCTCCTTTTCTAGTCCTTATTAATCTCGTCCTTGTGATCTTTTTCTGATTCAATATTAGTATTTTGAGATTTCATAGGGCAGTGGCTTGCATATTATTCTATGAATAGCTTGAATTAACGCGGACATTTTATAAAATAAATTCAACCATTTTTTTATGCATCCTTATAAAAATATTATGTGGATGTCTGAATTAATTTGTTCTACTCAATCATTTATTTTTTTTATTTAATAGCTATCATAAAAAAAAAAAAGAGCTTATTATGTTCTCATGGTCTGGGTGTCAGAAATTACAGTTCTTAACTAGTGAGGCTTGGTGAGTTTTTCTGCAATTACTTCCTGATGGGAAAAAAGTGACCCTGGATTGATTAGAATTAATTTATATTCATTAAATTTATTTTGAGATGGCTATAATATATATTTTAATTAATTATTTATCTATTATAATATTTAAAAATAAATATAGCTATTATGAAATTTATTTTAAATTAGAATATTCTGACTTGTTTTTTTTTCTGGTTTCTAGTGCACAAATTTTTGCTTCTTTTGAAGCCTGTGTGGACTAAAGCTAGTGTATATCCGCCTTTCTTGCAGGCCAATATCTCGGGAAAGATGGTGAAAGTTGCTTTTTTGGACCCATTATTTCTTTATTTTGAGTTTTGACCTCCCCTTTAAAAAAACATAAATAATATATTGTTTTAATATTTGTCTTTTTTTGTTGTGTTTGAACAAATGTTAGCTGCCATTGTTAGCAGAAGCTGATTTTTTTCTGTATTTTTCCATGGCATAATTCAATTATCACCTTGATGCGGTGCAAGTTTTGAATTTTCCCAAGTCAAGGTAAAGCATCTGCTGTTTACCAGACTTAACTTTGTTGTACTATATAATGTTGTATACCCTTTTATTTATTGGCATCTATGTGCAATCTTATTATATTGAATTGGATGCATTTCTTATAATTGTGGGATTCTGTAGTATTTTTGTGTTGTAATGCATTTACATATCTAATACTTAAGAAGTTTAATATGTTTATTTATATTGAGTTTTGTTCCTATTCTTTTATTTATTTTTAGATGCCTTCAAGTTGGCCATCAATCAAGTTTCAGGAACTCATGTTGTTACAACACAATATGAGGGTTGTTTTTGTTAATTTTGACATAAATTGGTGAGTTTCTTGAATTTTTATCATTTAGTTGCCTCATCTCAAGTCTGGATAGCCAAGTATGTTATATTTAGCATATCTAGAATTGACTCACTATTTCAATGTTGAGGCAATTACATACAGACCACTGAAACTTGTTATTTACAAATCAACCATCCAAATCAACCACAAATCAACCATCCTCTTTCATTCATTTTTCAAATTCTCACTCAAATATCAAAATTCATGGTAAAATCCAACCCATCTTTTTCATTTTCATCAAATTCGTTATGGTTTGTTCGTGGCATGCTTAAATACATGGGTTCGGTGGTTCAAGAATGATTGAAGTATAGCTGGACGCATGGATTATCTTTATGCAGCTAGTCTTCTTAAATGTAAGTGTTGTTATTAATTGCATTTTTTTGGTCAAGATTTTGGTAGTTTTTTAGTTAATTTTACTGGCTTATACAATTAATTTCATTGCCGTGGATGTTAATTTTGTATATCGTATGGATAAATGCTTGTCAAAAATCATATAAATGGCTCTTGATTATGAATAAATAGTTTATTTCTAGTATCTTAGACTTTATGGTCATCTAAACCAAAATGCTCATATACTCTTACATATGAAAAATAAGAAACAAATATTTTAAATAATTCCACCCCAAAAGCTTTCAATTATTAAATATAAACTTTTTAAATATAAAATAATTTCATAATAGCTCTTATAAGTGTAAATAAGTCGAGCTTATTCTAATGTATTACTCGTTTCACACGTAAATTTTTATATTTACAAGCATCATACGAAAAAATAGCACTTATCATCATCATTTAATGGTAAAATTCATGTTTTTCATATCCAGGCAAAGGGTTATTTGTGCAAAAATGAAACTTTAGGCTGCATATGAAATTTTCCTTTAAATTTCAACTCATCTCCCACGCAGTTTCTTAACCTTCTTCCTCTCAACCGCAAGGAAGAAAACAAGCGAACCCACGGCGAAAGCCGAGAAGCAGGCCGCCGCAACCTCCAGCGACACATACCGGCCGCTGATTCCGACAACATCGAACACGCCCGCCGTCTTCACCGCATCGGCGGTCTCACCGTACGCCACCTCGGCACCGTAAGAGTCAATGGCGTAGACTCTGACGAAGTAGGTCGCCGTGGGTATGTTGCGCTGCACGTTGTAGACGAAGGTTGAGTTGTCTTCGGTGTAAGGCTGTTCCGTAATGGCGAACGGACAGGTCTTGTCCTTCTTCAAATCGTCAGCCGTCCTTCGCCACCGTCTGTCGGTCTGGCTGTTCGGCGCGTAGCACAGTCGGAGCTTCACCTTCACGGCGGCGGCGGCGGGCGGCTGGAGGGCTGGGTTTAGGGACCATGTTATGGTGATGTTGTCCACACCAGCTTTCAGCACTGATTGAGTAAAATGAGTAAATTGTCAAAATTGTCCCAAGAGTTTATAAAAATGTCAAATTGACGTTTAAATTGTACTGAAATAATTCCAATTTAATAAGTATGGAGACTAATTTGATATTTTTATAAGCTAGGATTAATGCGGACATTTATAACACTTTATTATCATCGGTTTATGCGTGAAAATGTATATTTCAGGTTTAAAAATACATAATAATTATATTATTTTTTATTGTGATGTTAAACATTTGAATTTTATGTATAAAAACATAAAAATTTAGTTTTTAGACGTGTAAATAGGTAGGAATTGTGTGGTATGTATCAATGCAAGCAAATGCTACAATATATATATATATATATAACATAGAAGAATATTTG